AGAATGCTTCAGTATTGATAGCAATTTATTAACGAAATATCTGTTGAGATGTGTCTAGAAATTATTAATACTTATTTTTATTTATTTATTAAAATAATAAATAAATAAAAATAGGTATACATTTATCTATATTGAGTACTAGTTGTTCCCCGCGATCTCGCCCTCGTGGAGTATGGATTTCATGGGTTTTAATTTTTTTGCGCGGAACCCTAATTCTTTTTCTAAAACAAAAGTAGTTTAAGTTATACCTTATATCATCAGCTATCTGCCAGTGAAAGTCCCGTCAAAATAGATCCAGCTGTTTTGGAGATTAGCTGGAACAACACAGACAGATAAAAATTTTAAAAATTGTGTTTTTGTTACTAGTACTTTCATATGCATTTAATAAAAAGCTGTTGTTTTAACATTACAAACAGACGCTTCAATTTTATTTATTTTTAGATATAGATATAAGATATTATTCATATTGGTGTCATTTTAAAGGGAATATCATGTACTGAATATCATGATAATAATAAAATAATTGTCTCCAGTAAATATTATACTTTTCTTGTAAAACTCGAAATAAAAAATAAATACGATTTATTTTTATATCCCCATATGCTTTATTTTCATTCTTTATTTTTTATTTGACCAATTTTCTTTTAACAAAATTAAATTCTGAATTCGATGAGCTTTTTGAGAATATTTTTATTTGAATGTTAGGTAGGTGCCTATATTAGTTTTTCAGTAGTAATCGTTTTTGTTGCGACAGTCTCGCGCGGTCGTAAAAAAAGGAACTGCGCGGACAGGTGGGACGAGAATCACTTGCGCGGCGTTGACGGTTCGGTGGATAGGTACCTACCTACTGTTATTACCTAAATACCCATAACCTACTATACAACAAAATTTGACAAACTGTCGCTGCGTCGTGGACACTAAAATGTAAACTGCCTACCTACCTGCCTAAGTACGTCGGTACTAAGGAAACAGTCTTGACTGGTCACTTGTATTGATAAAAACATGTGTTTACATCTAGTGATATTGTGTGTATATAAAAAAAGTAAGAAGACAGGTAAGTATTTTTGAAAACAATTTATAGGTAGGCAGAACTAATTACAATTATTATCTAAATATTATAAAGGCGAAAGTTTGGATGGATAGATGTATGTTACTCAATCACGCCAGAACAGCTGAAGGGATCTGGATGATATTTAGCTCAGAGATAGGTTATACCTAGTCTGGAATAACACATTTGATACCGTTTATTCAGGTATTTCGTTCCTGTGGGATAATTTCCGAGTTCACGCGTTTGAAGCCGCTGGCAACAGCTAGTACGGATATAAACTGCGATGACTGTTCTAGTTCATACTTCGGCGTCGTGAACTCTTGAGTGATCGCTGCATGACCACCCGGGGAAAACTAAACATAATAAAATAAGCAATCTATATTAGGTATCTATAGAGCCATAGAGGTGTAGTATAAAGCGATAACGCAGCGCCTAATAATTTAGTACGAGTGGCACGATGCCAGGTGAGACAATCTTTTTTGGCCGCGCCCACCAATGAGTTCGAGCCCGCGACTTGTGCCACCTACGCAATTCCTTTGTATAGTGCGACGTTGCCACTCTTATTAGTTATTCCGCTTTGTAATATTTTATTTATAGGCGATATTTTGTTTATGTAGGTATTCGATAGATTCCTATAGTCTGTTTTTTTCGCAGGAGACAAAAATAACAGAAATTTATTAGATTCGTTTAGCACGAATAATACAGCTTTTATGATTCTGGTTCAGATTAGATTTAATTTTAGTCACTTAAATTTCGTATATTGTTCAAAATATTGAACGAAATCCACAGAATCTGAAGTTACGAAAAAAAGCAATATCATTTTAGTCTCCGGCGAAAAAAAAAGATATATATCATGATTAATTTACCAACTAGTTATTCGTTTACTAAATACGAAAAAAATATTTAGACGTTATTTTTCTTCCAATCTTGCTGTACTAAATATTTACGTAGTCCTTATATTAATAATTATAATTGCATAAGTTGATACAAAATGCTATGCAATAGCTTTACCGCGGCAGTCCCCGAGTGCCACACGTCTTTTTTAATTTTTTAACACACAGAGCCAATGTAAGTTCTTCTTAACTAAACTTAATATGGTTTATAGGAAACAAAGGATTATGTCCATATTTTTATTGTTTTTTTTAATAAGTAAATTTGCATAAAATAACCTATTTTTTAATATAATATATAAAATAATCAATCTTATCAATCAATCGTATTGGTTCTAATATTGTATTTTAAAACGATATGCTTCAGTTCCTAAGTTCATTTGATTATTTATTATTTTCAAACGCTCATTAGTCCTTTAGAACTATTTGCTAGTTTACACCTTTGTCCACTTTTAACCCTTCAATTCTGTATTGGGTTGAGGAAAAATAATAGTATTTTAATTCAATATTGTTTACCTATTTACATTAATGCTTAAATTATTATCAATTTCCATAAGTGATTCTTCATGTAAATTGATGGAGAAAGTTGTTGAGTACAGGCTTTTGTTTCCTAAAAGTTAATTATCTTTAAAACATTAATTTATACAAAATAGGTGTAGAAAGATGCTTTTTACAAAAAAACTAATTTAAGGTTTTTAGTATTTTAAACTCAACGAAATTCAAGTTTTAATATTGATTGTTAAAACTTGAATCGCATTCAGAGTCTAAAAGAGTGAGTGTCTCAGTCATTTATTGCAATTAAAATGCACAAAATAATGTTTGCAACTAACAAGATAATTGTACTAAATAGTAATAATATGTCATTAACTGAATATTTACCAGAATTGGTACAGCATAAGGTAATAGCAGAGTAAGTTTCTTCTTTTTTCATTAACATTTTATCCTTAAAATTTCTGCTGCAAATTTTTGACGACGGTTTTGGTGTCCAATCTGTTCGTCCTGTAGCTACAATCCAATTTCGACGTAAATTATCATGTTCAGGAAAACTGCAACAAACTGTTAAATCTTTCAGATATTTAATTAATAGACACTGCAGAATACATATCTGTACACCAGGTAAATGATCATAAGTCACATTAAGCTCATTGTTCAGTGCAAACGTTTTAAGTCTCAATTTGAACATTACTCACATATATGTCACTTTACTGCGCAATTGTGTAAAGTTAACTAAATAAAAATTTACTTGTTGTTTAAAAGTAGGTTAACCCTTGGGTGCCAGCTACGAGATAACTCGTAGTGCGGGATTTCACCATGGTGCCGACTACGAATATATTCGTAGATTTTGTAGGTCCTTCTACACAAAAAAATATTTATTGGCACTACAGGTAAGGTCAGATTTGAAACCTTTGGCATTAGCAAAGAAAACACATGGTAATTTCAAACTTCAAACTTTTAATGGGAAAAAGTTATGATATGACAAACATAAGGTACTGAGTAGTAGTATAAACAAACAAAAGAAGACATAATTCTGTCTTTTCAACAGTAGAAATATAATATTTAGTTGTCATAAACTTTGAAACAATCAACTACACATAAAGCTGGAGTTTTTGAACACAATGGGCAAAAATACCTTGTTTCTTTGCGAGTCTTATTTTTGGTACACACAACACAAGGTTTAGTTAGCTTGCTTTTCTTTTCTGTAGGTGGTATATATTCCAAATAATGTTGAAGCAATACTTGACCACTTTGATTGACCTCTTTGGACTGCCCTGATCTTTCAGAATAGTCGATATACTTTTGGCCTAACAAGTGGATAATAACATTTTCAGTAAAATTCAGTAGAGGTATTCTCAAATTCTGTTCAATCCAGATTGACCATTATGTATTCTTGCAGCATTATGTATAAACATTAGAAAAATGTGAATAGCGAACTTTTTGTACCAGTATTTGGTTTTTTTCATGCTCTCATAATAGGAAATCATTTGGTCAGAGTGGTCTACTCCTCCCATTCCGTTATTGTAATGAACAACAATATTAGGTTTTAGTTTAAGTTGATTCCTGCGATTTCTGATAGTTATCATTTCAGAATTGTGCATATTTGAAATGGTTAGAACATCGCGTTTGTCATTCCATTTGCAAACAGCTACTTCCCCCTTTCTTCTCCAAATCATCTCACCTTTCTTCAGCTTTGCCGATGTCACAACTTTTGGATTACCCTTACGGGTTGATTGCAAAGTTCCACATAAGTAAGTTTTATTTGCACTCATTTTTCTTGTCAGCTCAACGGAGTTATAGTAGTTATCTGTATATACCTTGTAACCTTTATTCAAGTAATCATCTAATAAATCTGTTACAATTTTTATAGTTTGTCCACCTTCCTGACCTTCTGATTTGCCTGTGTAAAGTTTTATCTTCAGTATTACGCCGTTACTTTCACATAGTTTATATATCTTGATGCCGTATCTATGTTTTTTATTTTTTATGTAAACTCGAAAAAAAAGTCTTCCTTTCCACGACATTACAGATTCATCTATGCATAAATCTTTATTCGGGGCATAAATCTTGCATCAATTTGTTGAAATGGTCTATCAAAAATCTTATTTTGTAAATACGGTCACTTTCATCAACTTCTTCGTTGTTTGAAAAATGGAAAAATCTGAATAGTATCTGGAATCTATTACGGCTCATCAAACTTCTAAAAAAGCGGAATGTCATATAACTTATGCTTACTCCAGTATAGTGGTTTTTGAGATAATTGCAAGTTACACATATGTAAAACAATAGCAATAAATGCCTTCATATCAGCTTTATTCGTTTCTCTCCATTCTTTCAATCTTGACGAACGTCGCAAACGACGCGTTGAAAGCACTTGGGTGGCGTAACGGTTAGTTTCCGTAACTAAATTTTTCAAGAAATCGTCGTTGAAGAACAAATCAGCATACATAGAAGGAGCTGTGCTCTTATTAGTATCTATCTTCGCACCTGGCTCAGGACCCAAAAACGGGAAATGTGAAATGAAATTTCCCAGGGTATATCTATCCATTCATTACTCCCGTTTTCTCCTACCAAAGGGACATTGTCTTCTGAAATGAAGAAGAAGATTGAATAGTATTGGATCGCAATGTAATAGCTTGTTGTGTAGCTTGTGCGTTTGAACGAGACTCAGCATGTTCGCGCTCCGAAAACGAACTATCAGCACTTGTATCAGGTTGTACATACAATTCGTCTTCATCTGTCGAAGAGAAGTCATCACCACTCTCGTCACTACTATCACAATTCGCTAAATCAGATATTTCTTGTTCACTTAATCGCTTAGCCATTTTTTATGCAGATAATTACTTGTTACGACAGCGAATCCTTTGCATTACGTAGCTAAACTGAATAATGTCACTCACACGCCACCACTCGGTCAGAAGCACGCCCCCGGCCGAAACTAGTTGCACTCTTAGTTCGTGTCTAGCTCCCGAATACGAAGCAACCTGTCGTGTTGCTTCCTGTTTTCCCGCTAAATTACGAAAGAATACCTTTTTTTTTGCCGACTACGAGTATAGCCGTATACGAATATACTTGTAATCGGCATAGTCGAATGTATTTATGTTCTACTATGCCAAGTACGATTTATCTCGTAGCTGCTTATATATATGACGGCATACAGCATAAACATACCAAAATATTCTGGCGCTCAAAGGGTTAATAGGTAGTTCTCGATTAAACCCACTGTAACAACCCTCTGTAATGTAGGAAATGTGTCAATAAAGAAGACGTGTTACTCTTGCTATGAATTTAATTATACTGCTGTATAAACCAACATTAAAATTTATTGTTGTAGGGACTACACTACACCTCACCCGACAAAAATATATCAAAAATAAATGTATACATTTTTCTTCTTTAACCTATAAAGATAAATATAAACATGTTATATGAATTACAAAAATACAATCTAATTATGTAATTAATTAAATAATGGACTTGGGATATGCTACCTCTAAACACTAAAGATGATTTTTTATAAGTTACATGTAATAAAAGAATATCCTAAGTATTGATTCTCAAGGCACAATGTGCAGATGCAGGAAGTCGATGGATGCAGGTGGCTCAGGACCGTGCTTTGTTGGCATTACTTGGGGGAGGCCTATGTTCAGCAGTGGACTTGTGAAGGGCTGTAATGATGATGATGATGAAGCTCTCATCAATACATATTTCCTAATTTGAGGATATAAGTGGATCGAAAACGGGAATTCAAATGATTTTAATTGTTTCAATAGGAAAGATAATGTCAGAATCAGGTGTACGTGTTGCGTTATTTTCAAAATGAAGAGCACGGCACAAATTTTGATACCTATGACTTGAAAACAATTGGCGGAAAATATTGGTCTTCCATAGACAATTTTCAGAAAAAACAAGATGCTATGGATGATCCCCAACATCATCCAAAAAGAAAACAGGATAAATAGCTCATGTGTATTTGTTTCGTACCAATTTTGTGCAAAAGTATCATTGATATAAGCGAGTTCTACAGCGTACCAGTTTGTTTCTGTCGCTATATGAGACATGATGATGCTCTCGTCCCAGTATTGGCGGAATGCCCCATATCTATGCACTTCCAAACGGCGTGGTTGGCCCTGTTCTTTCCGGAAAAAACGTTTCTCTTTCACCTTGAAAGGAGTCCATGGGGCGCCAATCAAAGTGATGAGAAGTCGCATCTCATATAAATACAAACTTTTTTTATTCAATGTAGATTATAAAAGTACTTATTGAAAGTCACTTTTTTAATTTACCACTGGTTCGCAAAAAAACCTCTGTCCTGGGAAGAACCCAGCGGGACTATTTTTTTTTAATAATAGCTTACAATCATGTTTACAATCAACAACACAAGACAAATTAGAAATAGCTTGGTAGCGATCACCCTTCCCAGGGGTTATTATCATCTATAAATTCCTTAATATTATAATAACCCTTTTTATACAAACTTAGTTTAATAACATTTTTGAACTTTGTGTATGACAAATTTTGTATATTTTCTGGGATTTTGTTGTAAAAGCGTATACATCGCTCCAAGAATGAATTACTGACTCGGTGGAGTCGAGTAACTGGTACTACCAGCTTGTGTCTGCTCCTAGTATTTACAGAATGAATATCATTTATTTTCGCAAAACTACTTTTATTTTTGTGTACGTACATTTTGATAAATGTATTTAGAGGCCAGAGTTAATATATTAATTTCCTTAAATTTTTGTCTCAGTGACTCTTTTGATTTTAAATTATATATTGCTCTAATGGCCCTCTTCTGTAAAATAAATATAATTTTAGCGTCAGTCACGTGTCCCCATAGCAAAATAATATACGACATAATGCTATGGAAATAACTAAAGTAAACTATTCTAGCTGTTTCAACACTGGTAAGAGTTCTAATCTTTTTTTACAGCATATGCTGCAGAACTAAGTCTGCTAGCTAGTTTTGATATATGGGGGAGCCATTGAAGCTTTGCGTCCAGTGTGATTGCCAAGAAAAATGGTGGTATCAACAAGACTCAGTTCCTCCCCATTTAAAATTACATTAGTATTGACATGTTTAACGTTAGGAGTTACGAATTTCATACATTTAGTTTTAGTTCCATTCAAATGCAAATTATTAACATTAAACCAATTGACTAACTTAGCTATAGCATTATTTACTTCGTCGTAATTTAATAACTGTCGTTTTAATAACATTTAACAACATAATAACAAAATTAACTTACGAAGAAGATGGTGACACTGGTAACGGCGGATTTACTTGTGCTGGCTCAGTGAAAGGTGCGGGTCCTAAAGGGAGACTTGGACACTCAAACTGCTGTCCATGTTCATCAAACATGGCCATTAGGATAACCTCATTGGATTTATCGAAGTCCCCCTGCATATCCTGCTCCTGAAAAACAAGTAAGATGAGACATTTTAGATACACATGTAACATATTTTTATGGTCATGAGTTGGATTGACCTGGATAGCACTGTTGTCTTTTAATTAGTTAGTGTGAAAAACCAGAGACGCTTTTCATAGATGTTTCATGTTTGCGTTATATGATAGGTGTAGATAATTTATAGGCCGTTTTAATACAAATGGTATATAAATCAAAAAAAAAAAATATGCTATTTTAATAGGGCCAAATTTCTGACTCTGGGCTGCTACTGGGAATTTCTCGACGGAAAAACTCATTAAATAATTTTATTGATCCGAATTCGAACCCGGAACCTCATAATCAGCAGTCACGTTAGACAACCTTTATATGCACTCATATTAATAATTATAATAAAGACCAGAGTGTAATAAATAACTTACAACATTATTATGTGAAAATGTTTCTTCCTCTTCTTCGCTGAGATCGCCGTCGTCTGAGTCACACCATAAAACATCAAACTCCGTCATTTTTCTGAAAATGTATGTAGTACACACATGTGAACATTTTTTGTCTTCATGAAAATCGAAAAGAGTAAGAAGGCAAAATTTATAAAATTTATATACATACATATATATGAATTATGAAATACTAAATTACTACACTCAAATACCTAACTACTATATAGAAAAAAACACTCTAAATTTCATAAAGAAAAGAAATATATAACATAAAATTATATCGACATCGTAATAATATACACTCAGTAGGAGCCCCTAATAAATCGAAATAAAATCAATCATAGGTATTATATTTATTTGTTGTTTCTCATTTTTGTTGAAAACAACTTTGGCATAATTTTCACAATAATAACGAAATTATAATATAAAACGTCATTTTTGCACATTGGAAAGTGTAAAATATGAGTGACTGTGTTTTTTTTTTCATGATTTATGGTGATTATTTACACTTTATATTTCATTTTCAGTTAATTCTGAGTACTTTATTTCATACGTGAACTACGGTATTTGAAATGCTAATTTTATCAATCGAATAAAAATTGTTAAAATACGAAATATAAGCAAAAAATTTAAAAAAAAACAGTGTAATACTTACCCTTTGTATAAAAAAACTCTCAACACACTTGAATAATATAACACAAAACATTCATTAGTTTAGTTCAGTGCATAAGTTGACAGGACGCCACGTTTACGCGCTAAAATGTACAATTGTACTTTTATAATGAAACTCTCCACAAAGTTTGTACGATACTGTTTATTGAATATTTATACGTTTTATATTGAGTTTTAATAATAAAATGGACAGAAGATATCACGTATAAATTCGTACAGGAGTATTTAGAATACGAATGTTTATATAATAGTAGAAGTTCAAATTGTAAAATTAAACCTGGTCGAGATGCTGCACTCATGAAAATTCTTAAAATCTTCTTTAACAACAACCATTAATACTTCTCTGACTGGATCATTAATTCTTGACGTAATCCTAGAACCATTCGGAAAAATTCTGTAGTCTTGAAACGTCATACTCCAACGAACTCTATGAACTAATGTCCTTAAACTAAACTCGCCACGAAGACTTTTTTGAACGCTACTGCCCACTTAACCGTTTACTATCAACTGCCCTGTAAATAAACTCGCTACTGTACTTGTCGAAGTGTAAATTGGTCTTAAATGTTTAAATTATGCAACTTAAAAAATGTATGGAAAGTTTCTATAACAGTAGGTATTTATTTTGGTAATTTTATATGGTTTAACATCTAGACCTTTAGTAAGATGGAGTTCAAGTTACGAGACCTTTTACCATGATTTTAGTGAAAGTTTAATAAGTGATCACTATTACTAGTTTTACCTATAGGATGTAAATGCCAAAATAAATTTTGCCTTTTTTGAATAAATTTATAAACATTGCGAATATTATCACTGATTCACAACAGGGCCGAATTAATTAAAGAGTAAACAAAGCGGACAAATATCAATGGGCTCTACTATGGTTAGGGCTCAACGGCCGCACGGCCTAAGAAAATATGTTTCTGTGTGATCGAGGAAGATAAAGAAAGGAAAAAGTGCCAAAAAACTTCTTCGTCTTCCTCGTCAGGCCATAGAAATCCACGAATGGCGTCTTAGTTGTAGAATTTCTTTGGCATTTTCCATAGAGTTCCTTTTCAACATCCATGGAATGAAAAGGCTTCCCTACTGAATACAAAGCGTTCCATCTTAGTCCTCAGGGACAAAGTATTGCAACTACATTTTGATTCTTAATCAAGATGGATAGATGTCTATAAGCAACAACATCCACTTACCATCGGGTGGTTTGTGAACACGTTTGTCACCCTTATTCTCTAAATAAAAAGCTACTTTACTCTATGCTGTGTTTCACATGCATTGCAATGCCTTTGTTTTCTTAACAATTGTATTCTATATAAATATGTACACAACTTTTTTTCTTTCCTATTCTCGTAATTAAGATAAGCGCATGGGACATATCTAAAATCTGCTGCCAGGTGCATAACCACACAAGAAACTGAAGGGATATGTCATGTGAAGAAAGCGAAGAGCGGTGACCGTGTCAGGTACTAGGTGACTCTGAGTGGCGTCGGTCTCAGAGCTGCCATACAGCTACTCCAAGACTTCCACTACCTCAAATGGTATGATAAATACATATCGAGCCTATAGACATACTTGGGTGTGGTGGCACCGAAAGAAAATACATCAACCTATCTTGTGGGTGTCGTAAGAGGCTACTATGGCAAACGCCTGCAAAGCCAAACTTTCGACAGTTGGCAGGATAAGCATCTCGCTCACGCTAGCTGTAAAATACCCACACGATTAAGGCAAATCCTCTCTACGACTAATGACCAGCTGTTGATTTTTATGGACTGATACCATCTCAATGGTCTGTTTTAACATTGTACTCATAAACTTTATCTGGGCGACTGAGCTTTGTTTGGTGATATAGAATATTTTCCTCAAAGATGGACCTATATATAACCTTGGAAAGTAAATCAAAAAAATCTATCCAAATGGTTGAAGCCGTTTCAAAAATATGATTTATGTGTAATTTATTTTTTGTATTCAAAATTGCTCACGTTAAGTAACTATAAATGACTTAAAGTGAGCAATATTGATATCGTTGTTTAAGTTCGGGTATCTACAGTGATATTCACTTAGCGCAAATATAAAAAAGATCAACGATCAACACTGGCCATATGATCATTAAGTATTTATTTTATGATAATTAATAGAATCAGGCGTTACTTTGCGGAAATTTATTGTAATAAAGATATTAAACTTTAATTCGCAACCATCCGCTTTAATTAAATACAATGATGTGTCTTACCTGGATTGAAGAGCACCTCCCGCCCTCAATTGCATGCACTAGTTCCGTCACCACTAGCCCCTGCACCACTACTCCCAACACCACTAATTCCAACACCACTATTCCAGGAAAGACACACCATCGACGATAATACGACACGTGTTTCGCCTCTACACGAGGCATCCTCAGGAGATGTAGAATCTACGGCGGCTGACCGCTAAGCTCTTATTCGCTCTTTTTTCTTTTTTGGCTCTTAGGCGATTGCAGGCCAACAACTATTGTATTAAATTATATGAAAAATTGTTACTTCTTTCAATTTATTCCCTTTGGACCTTGATTAAAAACATGTTTAGTTATCGAAAAAACTATTGGCATGTCTGCTCAAAATGGGAAATCGCGCACATTGTGAATTACAATTTTTTTTCCTGGTCTCTTTTATTTTTGAAATAAAAAATAATCGCTAGGGGCTATGGCTATGCCATTGAGTAGTTGTTTCAAAATTTTAAAGCCCATTCCTTTTACTGTTGCCATAAAAAGTGCTATGTCCACGACGAGCCTTCTGTCGTACAAAAGCAACAAACCTATGCTCAATTTTTCTCGCCTTTTAACCCACAGCGTCTATAAACCTTACAATTGCTACCGCCAGTACAAAGAGTACTTACTCTTCCGCTACGAAAAAAACTGTCTTTGTAATTATTCAAAAGGATTCTTTCTGAATGCCAAAAAACTGTTGCAAATCAATCGTATAGAATACTTAATTAGTTGTATTTTATATTCGTCTACGTGCTGTTTTCGAGAGTCATTACGAATCGTCTCGCACGCAGACTCGACCACTTCCAGCCTCCCGAACAAGCCGGTTTCCAAAAAGGCTTTAGTACCATAGACCACATACATACCCTTCGGCAAATTGTACAGAAGTCCGAAGAGTACAATCTGCCACTTTACCTGGCGTATGTGGACTATGAGAAAGCCTTTGATTCCGTCGAAATTTGGGCGGTGCTACAGTCTCTTCAGCGGTGCCAAGTTGACTGTCGGTATATCCAAGTGCTGAAGTGTTTGTAAGTAAGGCTACGATGGCTATCCGAGTACAGAACCAGAGTACGAAACCTATCCAACTGCAGAGAGGTGTAAGACAGGGTGACGTTATTTCCCCGAAACTCTTCACCGCTGCATTGGAAGACGTTTTCAAGGTACTGGACTGGAAAGGATACGTTATTAACATCAATGGCGAGTACATCACTCACCTTCGATTTGCCGACGATATAGTCCTTATGGCAGAATCGCTGGAAGACTTAAGCACTAGGATCAATGACCTCAATAGTGTCTCCCAACGGATAGGTCTTAAGATGAACATGGACAAAACAAAGATCATGTTTAATATCCATGACACACCTATGCCGGTAGTTGTTGGGAGCACTAAGCTCGAAGTTGTTGTCGAGTACGTTTACCTGGGACAAATATTCTGACTAGGTAAGTCCAACTTCGACCGAGAGGTCAATCGACGGATTCAACTCGGCTGGGCAGCGTTCCGGTAATTACGACGCATCTTCTCATCAGGTATACCTCAAAACATGAAAACTAAGTTGTACAACCAGTGCGTGTTGCCAGTGATGACCTACGGAACCGAGACGTGTTCCTTCACTGCTGGCCGTATGATGACGCTCAAAGTCGCTCAGCGAGCTTTGGAGAGGGCTATGCTCGGAGTTTCTCTGCGTGATAAACTTAGAAATGAGTATATCCGCAGTAAACAAGAGTGACCGATATAGCTCAACGGATTAGTAATCTGAAGTGGCAATGGGCCGGCCATATAGCTCGAAGAACCGACAACCGTTGGGGAAAAAAGGTTCTCGAGTGGCAGCCCCGTACCGGTAGGCGAAGTGTAGGGTGACCCCACACTAGATGGAGTGACGACCTGGTACGACATGCAGGAAGTCGATGGATGCAGGTGGCTCAGGACCGTGCTTTGTGGCATACCTTGGGGGAGGCCTATGTTCAGCAGTGGACTTGTGAAGGGCTGTAATGATGATGATGATGATGATTTTATATTCCAACCATTTACAAGATGTCTTTTTTCATCGTACGACAGACTGCCCAGCCCAGCTAAGTAAGGAAAATAATAAGGATACGACGGCAGAAAACTCGATTTTTCTAATTTCCAAGATTATTTTGCAGATTTACTAAATTATGGGATAATTTATTAGTCTAAGCTAAACAGTTTATCAAAATCTGTTTTTAAATACACAGTTTAAAAAGTCATAAGTAATGCTTTGCTGAGGTTGAAAAAAAATTTATATTGAAAATAATCTTGCTATAATTGGCATGACTATTTTGTATTTTAACTAGTGGGTGACATTAAAAGCGACTTGTATTTAAGTTATCTGAGATCTGTTGACGACCCACACCTCTTGCTGTCTGCTCGTGAGTCGTCTCTTGCAATTGGCATCAGAGGCTGTGACGCTACAGTCGCCTCTTTCCTCAATAATATATCATAAGATTTTATTATATACCTCTAAAATATAAAACGTACAATGTTTACAACAAATCTATTTGGAGTTTGTTTATTTGTAACTGTGTTTAAAAATTGTTATGGAGCAATTGACATTGGTAAGTTATTTTTAAATATATAATATATATATATATATATAATCGGAATCTCGGAACGGCTCCAACGATTTTCATAAAATTTTGTGTGCAGGGAGTTTCGGGGGCAATAAATCGATCTAGCTAGGATTTATTTTTAGAAAATGTGTTTTTGTCCGTGTTTTTAGGCAATGAAAAACTGCTAAAATATCGTTAGAATAAGAAGGTAAATTTTGATAACTTATTAATGATTACAAATAGCTTAATTGGTATATCGGGCGGTCACAAAATCGTAATACCAAGGTTCGAGCCCAGGCCGACCAACCGACTTTTTTATTTTTTCTTTCAAGTTCCTTTCTTTTTTGAGAAAATCTATTTTTTCGAGGCCTTTTTTTAGTATTTTTAAAAACACGAAAATTTAAATTAAACTAATTGCACTCATGATTTTTTATTCAAATAATCAGTTTAGTTTTTTCTATTATGTCGCTAAGATAAAAAAATATTATTCGTATTTCATCAGTAAGTAATTTGTATCTAAATATAATTTCCAAAACACACGAATTAAAAAAAACCGAGCGAAAAATACCGAGCAAAGCTCGGTCAACCGGGTACTATATATAACATAACATAATTTGAAATAATGCGTATGCGCCCTCCTTTCTGCCAAGAAGGGTCGCGTTCGTATACGGCTTAGAGATCTCTAGTCACATCGTTAAGCAAGTTCCTAAAAGGTTGGGTTTAGTGGGTAAAAGTCACCACATAACCACGCAGCCGGCTGCGTGGTATGCTATGAGCATTCCCAACCTCCCTTAATCCCCCGCTTTCCGGAGGGTTGCCCATATTTGCTTCGGGCGCAAAAAAAATGCGTAATTTTTATTTTATTTAGATATTAATCTCATACTAAAATTTTAGTGATATAAAGTACCTTGGCCGGCAAGGGGAAGGAGTCTAGCCAGCCAAGTGTGCAATTATGGCATAGATTTTGTTGTTTGTGTCGTTCGTGAGGTAAAGGCAGTCACTTACGGGTTCGGGCAATCACACGGTTCTTGCGTGGCAACCTCAAACTGGCGCAGCTTCAGCTCCTCACTTATGGAGAGACGACCTGATGAAACCTACAGGTAGCCGATTGATGCAAGTGGTAGCCACTGAAAATCAGGGCTAGGATGACACATCTTAGCGTTTCCTGAGTGGCACTCCTATTTGGACCATTTCCCATTTTAAAAAAAAGTTTCTGTTTTAGTTAGCTGTTCGATTTTTTTAATGTATTTTGTATCTATCTGCTTTGTCAAAATGATTTATTTTTCATTGTAAGTGTATAATTAAGTCTACCTATAAGAATACTTAAACATAATGTTTGTTTTGAGTATTTAGTGCTAATTTGTATGTCTCTTTCTTTCTTTCTATGACAGTACAGAAAATTATCGACCAAATGTTATGTACAATATTCAGTCGCTAGACCTATGGGTGCAGCGACCCAAGTCTAGCTATTGAGAGCTGATATAGAAGAGTAATTTAACATTTAAAAAATAGTACTTCAAAGATATGTTTAAATGTCAAAAAATCACATTCTTTGTTTAACTTCGAAAATTTATTTATTAATTTCATGCTTTACGTTTTGTTTTTTGACGTGGTACTCTAACAAAGTTTATCCATAAATTATAATAATGACATTAAAATCTATAGATTAGTGGATGTATACCAGTAGCCTCACAGTAACATCGTTAAATTACATAATAAAGATTCTCTTTTGTCTTAATACATAATTTACGTGTAAGAAACAGGATGTTGGGACTTGCTTGGATAACAAATACTAAAACAAAAACTCTAATTGACGCGGTTTTTTATTATTATGTAAATACACGCAGTTAAGCAAAAACTAGCCAACCCACAGTCTGGGTCAATAATGAGATATGTATGCAAAATATAAATAATAAAAATCGAATCAAGTCATTCTTCAAATTTTAAAATCTGAAAAATATCTTTTTGTGGGTTGAAACCTTTTAGCGTAACTACGTCACATTAAAAACTTCTTAAATAGTTCTTTATTTTTAAATAAATCGTACCACAAGCCATTTTCTAAAAAGCTACCGTTTTTGTTTCAGGTAAATACATCCCCGTTTGTGACAGAAATTCACCAGAAGTCAATGACTGTTTGGTCGAAGCGGTCAGTAAAGGTCTTGTTGTCATGGCAAATGGGATCAAAGATTTAGGGGTACCAGCTATTGACCCTTACCATCAAAAAGTGCTGAAAATCGATTACAATAATAACCAAGTAAGTATTTTTATAGACAGTTGTTTGGAAACTTGAAAGTTTAAGAAAAGCGTTGTACAGTAGTAGAGTCACGCAGCGGCTTTTGCTGTTGCACATATACCAGCGTGAAGTAGAAGTTCTGCTTCTGTGTTTCGTCTGGTGAGTGCGAAATACAATTAACTTACTATATATGTAATAATTAATTTATTTGAAAAATATAATAATATAATATCAATCATTTTCAATGAATATATTATCATTCCTTATTAAAAAGCTAAAACTCTTCCAAATTTAAAACGATATTTCCACAATTATGCTTGTATAATATATGATATAAATATGACACTTTGTATTCCATTCGCTTATGTAAGGAAAGATACTGCTTATATACGTCCCAATTCTGGGCATAGACCTCTCATTATTATAAAGTTTGAAAGGCAAGTTTAGTTGTAAAGTAAGTCGCAATGTGGGCCACAAATAAGATTGATATTATATACATTCAGTCTCTTAGAACGTGAAAGTTCGTTTCATTTACAGTTCGTTTACTGTTGGTAACGATACGACGAGAGCTTTATTCGAAATTTTTTGTAATATCTTAGAATTGCAAGTTTCCTCACAAAGTTTTCCTTCACCACCTACGACCTAGAAAATCAGCTCTTCACTTGCAGCTTACACTTAAATTTACACCAAGCGCTTAGTCCCTCAGCTACTAAGGCTTGTACTCTATATAATAAATTATGTTGTTAATATAAACCATGCGGAGATCAAAGGCGGCGTAGATAATCCATTACCCGTGATATGATCCGTGTCGTAAGGACAGGGGGAAACTGAAACAGAAGATTGGCAGCAGCATCTTCCTGATAACAACTAAAAATTATAACGGTTGCTACGGTTGTCATAGTACTACAAAATCCCACCTATAAACATTGAAGGGCTGTAATTAATTTAGAAATTAAATGCAGAGATCTGTCTGACTTATATCGCCAATACACAAGTTTGCAATATAAAAGCAATCATCAACAGAAGAAACTTCGTGTCCTTCCATCACATAATAACATATATAAACACTCATGCCTGTCACCCAGAGGGATAGGCAGAGACTACAGACTTCCATTTGGCATGATCCTGACACACCTCTCTCGCCTTCTCCACATCCATATACCTAAGTATACATGCTCGTAGGTTAAGAGTACTCCTAATTTGGACAGTTTTCGATATATCGCCAATTTAGTCGTTAAACTTTTGCCTAGTACGTCCCTTTCCGTCTCCTGCGTTCCCTTCTGCTACATAAATTTGCTTTGTCACTCTTTCCTCATTCATTCCTTCCACATGACCAAACCACCGAAGCATTCCTTTCTTAATCTTAGTCACAACATCATCTCTCAAACCGCTCTCTTCTCTTATCATACAATTTCTCACCCTGTGATTTAGATTCAGCCCTAACATACTCCTTAACAACCGCATTTTTACTGCGTTTACTCTACTCGCGTGCTTCTTCTGTCATACCCAACTTTCACTACCATATGTTAAAGCAGGGACTAACACAGCATTGTAAATTGCCATACGTGCCTTTTTTGACACATTCTGAATTTTCACAATAGAGTGTAGGGCCCCATTTACTCTTTTTCCTGCGTTCACTTGTCGTTATATATCCTTATTATATCTCACATCCTTGCTAAATACGCATCCCAAATATACAAACTCATCTAATTGCTCAATCAAATCCGCTTCTATTTTTATTTCACATATCGTTTTACTTTCTTCTCTTTCAAAAACCATGACTTTCGACTTACTTGCGTTCACATTAATACCCCTTTCTTTTAATGATCCGTTTATTAATGTAACCATCATTGGCAACTCGGCCGCCGCCGACGCAAAAATAACTTGATCATCGATGTATAAAAGGCATTTGACGGTTAACTCATCCGTTCTTAATCCGCATTCTTCAACTTCCAAATTTTTCGAACAACTGTCCATAAATAGGTTGAACAGCCACGGGGAAGCAATACAGCGTTGTCTGAAAAAAATTATCAACCTTTATGGATGCCAAACCAGTCCGAGTAGACCACGTTGATCCTAACATAAGCACTAAAGTCCCTATAAACAGACTTTAATGCCTGTGCTGCACGCAGCGCTCAACCCAAATGAGTTCAGTGTTTGCCATAACACATGCCTGTCCACTCTGTCATAAGCCTTTTCCAAGTCCTTGATCGCACAAAAACCCTTTTGGTTTTTGGCCAAAAACTTCTCCGCAATCATGTGCATGGAAAAGACTTGATCTACATACCCCATTCCCTTTCTAAATCCCGCTTGCACATCCCAAATTTTTCGGTCAGTTTCTTTCAAGACCCTTTCAATTAGTACCTTAGCATACAGTTTTCCCACAATGCTATGAAGGCTGATACCACGGTAGTTTTTACAGTCCTGCTGCGACGCTTTTTCTTTATATATTGGGACTATCACGGCTTTACTCCAGTCTACCGGTACTCGCTTCAGTTCCCAACATAAATTAAACAAGATGTGCAGCAGGCCTGCCATCACTTCCTCTTAGCTCAGCCCTTAGCGTTTCGAGTTAAACTCTATCATATCTGTCTGCCTTACCTGCTCTCATGCTTTTCATTATTTCATCTATACTTATCTCGCTATCTCTTTTCTCTTCTTTTGGAGTTTCCATTTCATTTAGTTCATACGTCGTCTCCTCACTCATAAACACACTTTCAAAATAATCCTTCCACCTCTTTAGACTCAAAACTTCATCATTCAGAATATTATAGCCATTCTCGTCTCTTATAGCATTCACTAGGCTGCTTTGAATGTCCCCTGGCAGTTCTTACGAGTTTTCAGAACATTTTAATATTTGCTTGGAAGTTATTCTTATATATCCGATATTCTTATATCATTTGTATCCGATCTTACTTGCTTTTTCATTTCAACTCCTTCTTTTACTCGTTTATTTAGATGCCTAAAGACTGCCTTCTTTCTTTCAATATCATCATTCGCACTGCCAGAATTATCAGCCTTTGTTGCTAGTAAATCTAGCCCTGCTCTCTTCTTTGCTTCAACTTCCATACGTATTTCATCATCCCACCATAACGTATTATTTTTTCTTTCATTCGTTATCTTACTAATACTGTATATTTCAGTAAATGCGTCCACTAAACCTTTCATAACATTTTGCCATACATTCTCCAAGTCATTCTACATAAATTATCATTCATACATAATTCATCCAAACCACTTCTCTACTACATTTGTACTTGTTTTTCTCACCTTCAAATTGTAACCTTTCTGTTCTAATACGCTGTAACGCAGTGGTAGACACATATGTCCGATGGCGCTGACGTCTGAATAGATCATTAATTCGGCATAAAACCAGATAATGTTCCGTTCCTACTTTGGAACATTTGTCATTGCTGTTTCACGCTAACCTGCCTCTCCGTAAGGTGATTATAGAGATTCGGCGACCCTATTTTACTGGAAACTATGCATTCCGTCTTAGCCCTCCGGGGTAAAAACGGATCTGGATTTTGATTCTTAACCGATAATAAATGTAGATGCTAATGAGACTAAGTGCGTGCCACTTACCATCAAGTTAATGCAACTTAACATCATATGTACTATGTGCTCGTTGTTCGTTCTTTCTCTATAAAAATATAAAGTTATGGTGAAAAAATTTCATCAATTACATGCAATAAGTACGATCGGAAACAGTGATAATTTTTTACCTTTCTACTTTTGAGATATCTTAACATATATCAAATAGTAATATCTCAGTTTATCGCCATTGTTACTGTTTCGTAATATGCTCTTTATATATTTGAGCTATAAACAGATTTAGACATGTATTATTAATATTTTTTCATACAGATATCAACAAAAATGTCTATTAGTGATTTCTCCGTATCAGGCATCTCAGGATCTACGGTAAAAGATGTCAGGTCAGTATTTAAAACTCCATTATACTCTTTTTAATACCCTATTTTTATTGGATCGTTAAAAATTTCCTCAGTGCTGTAAAGTTCTTTTTTTAATAACGCTTTGATTGTAATTATAGTATAAAGTTTTACTTAGAGTTGAAATTATAACCGTGTATTGCTACCACACTGTAATAATATTCGTTATAGTATCCATTACTTAATTTTGTTCCTCAAGAGGCAACAATGAAAATTACCAGAAGAACTCATGGCTTCCCACGGATGCCTGTATAACCTTTTCGTTTACGCCAGACGTGTAATACCCCGACTGGCGACTGGCAGCAGCGTAAAAGACGTCTGGTACATTTATAGACTGAGAGAAAAATCTATTATATACTTTCTAAGCTTACTGATAATAATAAAAGCATGTAGTGGTGTAGTAAAAATATTCACTACCCTATATCGTGCCGTGAGTGTCGTAGGAGGCGTTAGAGGGAAACAAATCAGTAGACAGGCAGCACCGTCTTCCCAATAACAACTAAACATAAAAACTGCAATATTTGCCAAGCGTGGTAGCTATGGAAAATATCTCTCTTATGAGGCAATCTATGAGGAGGCCTTTGTACTACTAACACATCATAATGAGAGGCTACATTTATATCATATCAGCCGTTTCTGCGTAATTGAGTTACTTACATCGAATCATCTTCACAAATATTCACATTACAATCGTAAGTAATATGGTTTGTTCATATAAGTATTATCATCAAACTTTATTATTTTTGACAGATTACGTGCCGAGGATGACAGTTTTCACATGGAGATAGATATGTTTTCACCACAAATGTTATACAAAGGCCATTATAGGGGCGGGGGAAGCTACAACGCGTTACGCCTCAATGCTACTGGCGACTTCAACACCACTATGAGTCAGTAATACCTTATAATCGAATAAAACTACTTTTACGGATTTTATCGCGTGTAATTTTTTAAATTCCGTTAAACCGGCTACAGTCGAGGGTGTACCTGTTGTGCTACCACATGTCAGAGAAGTCACAGATAAGATTGGCTACATCTTAAAGCGGGCTTACATAAGAAAATACTACAAGCCGCCGAAGAAGATGAGTCAGTTTTTAACATCAGTCAAGGTTAAAATGCATCTACAAGATGCAAGAGTGTACAACTTTGATTGTGAATGTGGTCTCTCTTACATAGGACAAACAAAAAGATCCGTAAAATCCGCGTGAGAGAACATGTCACTGATGTGAAGCACCGACGCTCCGGGAAGTCTGCAGTATGTCAATATGTTCAGGCTGGTCCTAACCATTGTATCAGATTTGATAGTCCACAAATCGTCGCAAAAGAACACTGATCCTTACCAAGGATGATTTGCGAGGCTATTAAAATTAAAAGCATTTTAATTTCAATAGAAAAAATGGCTGGGTGCTGCCATCTGCTTGGGATCCCATTAATAAAATTAAATCCAAACCCAAGCATACTACTGCAGGACTTCAAGATACTGTAAGCTCGTTTTGCGTAGATCGGATTAAAATTAATAATTAGAAGTTGAAGGTAGCCTTAGTTAACGGGACGTCAAACACCTCAGTCCCTCAATGACAGTAACTGTTGTAAAGTGCCCGAAACATGGTCGGGAATAAAAAAAGTGTATATTAAACGCGTTAAAATCCGTGAAATTAGTTTTATTCTTATGAAATTAGTTGTAATGTACCGATCTTGTAAATTATAGGTCTCAACGTAAATCAAGTTCTATCTATATAATCTATTTCATCATCGTCATCATCATTACAGCCCTTCACAAGTCCACTGCTGAACATAGGCCTCCCCCAAGGTATGCCACAAAGCACGGTCCTGAGCCACCTGCATCCATCGACTTCCTGCATGTCTTACCAGGTCGTCACTCTATCTAGTGGGGGGTCGCCCTACACTTCGCCTACCGGTACGAGGCTGCTACTCGAGAACCCTTTTTCCCCAACGGTTGTCGGTTCTTCGAGCTATATGGCCGGCCCATTGCCACTTCAGTTTACTAATCCGTTGGGCTATGTCGGTTACTCTGGTTCTACTACGGATACCCTCATTTCTAAGTTTATCACGCAGAGAAACTCTGATGAAAAAGATATATAATTTATATAATCTATTTGGTTAAGTTAAATTATTAATAACTCTGTCACAGCGTCCTGTGTCATCCGTTTTTCGTGATTTTAGTTTTTAGCACTAAACCACAATATTCGCTCAATTTATTACCTTACAACAAACAGCATAAAAATGCAGCTTAATACCAATACTATGTTAATGCTGTGTTTCATACGGTGAGTATAGAAAAGCGGAGAAAACTTTTTACTGGAAACAAGGCATTCCATTTAGTCTTCAGGGATGACAACGCATCTGCATTTGATTCTTAATCAAGTATAGATGTACGAGTAGATGTCTATAGGCCACAACATCCACTTACAGGTCTCAGGTGGACTACGTACTCGTTTGTCACGGTTATTCTATATTTAAAAAAATTAGTTATATTGTGAATGTCAGTTCGGTGCGATCGGTTTCGTTTCATAAATATACCCCTGCAGTTGTAATTTATATTTCGTTTTTATGAGAAAATTGGCTTTTTTTTTAATAATTCTTATTAAAATTCGAAAAAATCTACATTCTGTATCTTTTTTATAATTTTCACTAGATTGGTACTGATGATTCCTTGCGTTAGATATGCTATTTGTAGGGTGTGTTGAAGATAATATTATTAAGTTTTACGTATTTTTTTTCTCAAATCATAGCTTTTTATTTACTTCGGACCCCAATGTGGAAAACAAACTCTACCGAAAAGTGGCCCTGTACTTCAAGTTTTGGCGCATTTAATTAGGACTCTGAAAAGTTATTACACAAGGCTATGCGTGGCTTTTGTATGTTTCGAGGACGATCATTCGTAGCAAGGCCAAAGTTAACCCAACCTCGGTTAACCTAAACTCGGTTAGGCCTATTTACAAATAAACTGGAACTAACAGTGACTCTCTGCCACTCTTTTACACTAACCATTTCATCCTTTGTCAATAAAAGTTCAGTTCGCCCGTCAGTTCAGGTAACAAAAGGATACAAAAGCCGGGCCGGCTGGGGCGGTGGCCGGGGGATGCGATTGAGCACCTTTCTTTAAGCCGGTTATACATATACTTGTTGGCCGAGCGAAGGCGACCAACGTATAGACAGCACATTTGTTCAGCCTCGCCATTGCTCATCGACGCTCGCCGAGCTGGCCGAGTGCAGGCGAACGCCAACGTGTACACGGTTTGTTTGGCATGCCTTGTCGCCACTCGGGATTGCTCGCTACGAGTCGCCCACTTCGGAACACTGTCGGTTTTTCTGCACAAATAAAAGGCGCTCGCCTGCAAAATACGCACTGAGATCAGAAAAGGGTACACAAAGCAGAACCATATGGAACAAGAACTACGACAAAAGCTCGAATTTGCTAGGGTACAAGTTGTTAACAACAGAGGTGCGTCCGTAGGTTACGTAGGAATTTTATTAGACGGTGCAGATTATGTATTATGGTCAAAGGTAGGAATTTTGAGCATTTATTGTGAAATATTTTGTTTTATTAAAACAATTATTTCACAATCGTTTTGTTTTTTCGTCCTCCACTCATGACCATGTGTTACCTTTTCAGAATCCCTATTAAATGCACCAAAACTTGCAATACAGGGTCACTTTCGGTATAATATTTTTTTCACAGTGGGTTCCGAAGTAAATAAAAAGTTATGATTTAAGAAAAAATTTTTCGAAAAACTTAATATTATCTTTATCACACCCAATAAAAAACCATAAATAGCATGTCTAACGCAAGGACTCATCAGCACCAATCCAGTGAAAACTATAAAAAAGGTACAGGATATAGAGTTTTTCGAATTTTATTAATAAGAATTAGTAAAAAAAGTCAATTTTCGCTTAAAAACACAAAACAAATTATAACTTCGCAGCGGTTGACCTTAAGGACCTCCCGTAGAACAATTTTTTGCAGCTGATAACCCCATCTAACCCAAAGTTGCGATTGATCCACGACTCTTTGACCATCCGGTAGACTTTGTTAGTAATTTGCCTACAGTGCCACCTATGGGATCCTAGCATAGCTAACATCCATCGTATCATTAAATAAATGTACTTATTATGTGAAGTTATATAAACACTAATAAACGCATCAACGATTATACTAAATAAAGTTTGTAAGCATGTTCATAAAACCTCAGTTGAAAATGTTTTTGCACTCTGTCTTGATAGGACTATAAAGAAACGTTATTTGTTAAAAGATTTAGGTATGAGCAAAATAATATTGTTGCTTAATTCATTTAAAAAACATAATTGTAGCAATCACTTTCGGAATCTAATATTAATTTGTTAATAGATATGTAGTGGTTATTTTAGTATACTTACATATTTATGTTTTTCAAATAATTTTCGAAAATTTAATTTAGAAAATTAAATTATCGTCTTATTTAAGTATCTTCATATAATTATCGTAGTTTCAAAGTTAATCACGTTCCCTCCTTGTAAAATTTCATAAATTATCACATAATGTTATGGAAATAATATACGAACCTAGAGCAAGTTGGTACAATTTAGTTATTTATCACTAGCACTCTTCTAATTAACAAACGAGAATACCCATAAACATCATTAATATTACAGGTGACTTGACATATACCTGGAAATTAGATGGAACTCCTGAAAAAATCGATGGCGAAACGTACGTAAGAATAAATTCTTTTTACATGCGACCTGATGTCGAAAATATGGTGACACATTTGACCAACGAGCATCCTGATAGCAAGGAATTGAGTAAGTTTTTTTTATTGTAGTATTGTTTATATTATGTATTTTCTGTTACAGTGGTTGATAATAATTCGGTAGAGAGTAAGTTTTGATTGAAAATCATGCGGTGTAGTGGCGGCGTGAGGAAAGTCATTACCCCAGTTCCTTCTGCGGCTGTCGTAAGAGACGACTATGGGTGATGTCAGAGAAGTCTTGTAGTTTTTGAAAGGTGGTGATATACATTAACAGTTAAATTTAAAATATCGAGACCAGTGACGGGGAGCGGTGTCAAAAGACGTCGGATACTGCAATTGTCAATCCGCTTATCCGCGTGAGGATTAAGGCAAATTCTCCCTGCAACAGTTAAGTCCCTAGTCCATCATCATCATCATCATCATTACAGCCCTTCACAAGACCACTGCTGAACATAGGCCTCCCCCAAGTAATGCCACAAAGCACGGTCCTGAGCCACCTGCATCCATCGACTTCCTGCATGTCTTACCAGGTCGTCACTCCATCTAGTGGGGGGTCGAGAACCTTTCTTCCCCATCGGTTATCGGTTCTTCGAGCTATATGGCCGGCCCATTGCCACTTCAGCCTACTAATCCGTTGGGCTATGTCGGTCACTCTGGTTTTACTGCGGATATCCTCATTTCTGAGTCTATCACGCAGTGAAACTCCGAGCATAGCCCTCTCCATAGGTCGCTGAGCGACCTTGAGCGTCCTCATACGGCCAACGGTGAAGGACCACGTCTCAGATCCGTAAGTCATCACTGGCAACACGCACTGGTTATACACTTTAGTTTTCAGAGATTGAGGTATACCTGACGAGAAGATGTGTCGTAATTTCCCGAACGCTGCCCAGCCGAGTTGAATCCGTCGATTGACCTCTCGGTTGAAGTCGGACTTACCTAGTCGGACTATTTGTCCCAGGTAAAAGTACTCGTCAACAACTTCGAGCATAGTGCTCCCAACAATTACCGGCATAGGTGTGACATGGACATTAAACGTGATCTTTGTTTTGTCCATGTTCATCTTAAGATCTATCCGTTGGGAGACACCATTGAGGTCATTGAGCATAGTGCTAAGGTCCTCCAGCGATTCTGCCATAAGGACTATATCGTCGGCAAATCGAAGGTGAGTAATGTACTCGCCATTGATGTTAATACCGTATCCTTTCCAGTCCAGTAGCTTGAAAACGTCTTCCAACGCAGCGGTGAAGAGTTTTGGGGATATAACATCACCCTGTTTTACACCTCTCTGCAGTTGGATAGGTTTCGTACTCTGGTTCTGTACTCGGATAGCCATCGTAGCCCTACTGTACAAACACTTCAGCACTTCAATATACCGACAGTCAACTAGACACCGCTGAAGAGACTGTAGCACCGCCCAAATTTCGACGGAATCAAAGGCTTTCTCATAGTCCACATACGCCAGGCAAAGTGACAGATTGTACTCTTCGGACTTCTGTACAATTTGCCGAAGGGTATGTATGTTGTCTATGGTACTGAAGCCTTTTCGGAAACCGGCTTGTTCGGGAGGCTGGAAGTCGTCGAGTCTGCGTGCCAGACGATTCGAAATGACTCTCGAAAACAGCACGTAGACGCGGCTCAGAAGAGAAATCGCTCTGTAGTTCTTCAAGAGAGCGTTGTCGCCTTTCTTAAAGAACAAGACCACCGCGCTTCTGCTCCACGCCTCCGGAGTAGTGCCACCATGGAGGACGGAATTGAAGAGCTTCTGAAGGACTTCAAGTACCGGTGTTCCACTCGCTTTCAGAAGCTCTGCTGTAATTCCATCCAGCCCCTAGTCCGGTAGTGATCTTTAAAGGAGTTGATAAGCATACCTTCTGACACTCGTAGCATTATGACTCTTTGGCGTTGCTATGGATGGTTGAGATTACAAGAATCTCCTACACTGAGGATACTACGTCTTATTTAGGAATATTATGATGATATGAAAATTATAAATCTTATTCCTAAACATTTGCATCCTTCTTTGTTATGATGTTAGCTGAAACTGTCTGTGAGCTGCAAAACTCTTATCATTAGGTGAACAGTTTTCTGGTGTCGTTTTAATCAAAAGCTTTTGATAAAAATAATGGCCTCCAGAACAAATGTCCGTTACGGTTGCCATTCTCATCGGAGATTATCCATGCGTTGAATAGGATTCAAGTAAAGAGTGAGTGCTGAAGCAGAGGTGCACTTTCTATTCCCTGGCTCTCATAGTCCGATTGACAACAAATTGACACGATGGTTAGATCAATCGCAAGACCAACTCTACGTGCTTTTCCGAGTTAAGGGAGTGAAACACTGTCAACTTCTTGACCCCAGGCTGCTATTGAGTATTTTTGAAAACTCAATTATTTTGGCCCTACTCCGACCAGGATCATAAGATCAGCAGTATGACCACTAGACCAACGAGGCAGTCAAAAAATGTAATAATGGGTCAAGGATCGCCCTGAATTAAATAATTTCATTTTACGCCTCTTATGTAAACAAAGCTAAGCAAGTCAATCTGATAATTAGACTTCTGCCTCACGATATGTCTATAAAGTTTTATACTAATAAGTACTACTTTATGTTTTTATTTATGGCTCATATTAATATATTTGTTTTAGCTGATCTGGCGATACGATTTGCAAATCAAAATTGGAGGTTAATATATCGAGAATTTTTACCATTTGCACAAGGCTACTGGAATAAGACCGGTGTTCGTATCGCTAACAAAATTTTCCTTAAAGTACCCTATGAACAGTTGTTCCCTGTAAAATCATAAACAATTTATATCTTTTTAATTTCCGTATTGGTTTACTTTTGTGTATAGATGTTTAAAGTTTTGTGATAATATGTTTAAGGTTTTAAGGGGTATTATACTAATTTATCTGTTTGTGTATGTGTATTTATTTGTTGTTTTTTTTTATGTTTTGTTAATTTTCGTTTTCATTTTATACATAATATGTACAAAATGAAAACGAAAATTATATGGGAATGTACCTGTGTTTGCCTATTAAGATACAACGTATAAATCTTGTGAATGAATCTTAAAACAAATATAATATTTATCAGTATATTTTGTATGTTTTATTGCAATCTCATATAAACAGTATGGTAGATGTCTTATAGTTCACACTGAGAAATTTAAAAAGCTCAAATATTGTGTAAACAAGTATTTGCATTTAAAATTTCATCCACTATTTTTCGACCCTTAGGGGTAAGGAATCTCCAAATTTCACGGGGCTACCCGTGAAGTATAACACTGAGGGTACTTCGACACCCACGGAACAATATGGAGTGGTAGATATTCTTGCACCGCCACTACACACTGGTTAATAGTATACTACATTTTTTTAACTTGTTGGAATTACATAATTTTTCATTTTTTATCGATAAGCCGGCAATAAAACAGGATTTATTGAAATGTTTTGAACTAAAGCTTGGGTATTTCTTCTTCTTATTATTTTCTGACCCTTAAGAGCCCTCTTACATTTCGGTGTTATGCAAATTTAATAGGTATTGTACGCACGCAGGCGACGAACTACGTGAGCGATATTTTATTTCGTATCTATTCACTCGCTCGCACTATGATACTGTGAGTATAGTGACTAAACTATCTGGATCTTCCATAATACAAGTTTTCTTAGGATGGAGTTAAGTGAATGGAAAATTTTGGCTGTGTCATTTTTATGTTATCTAATTAATTTATTATAATATATTTTTGATATATTTCTCATTATTTATGAACCTTAGTGTTAAAATAAGTACACATAAATATTTTAATTGCTACGCAGTAATCGATTGTTAACCGATGTTGGTTCATACCTACTAACGGTAGTATAGTGGTATAAATAAATAAATAGTACGGTTACAACCTGTTTTAATAAATAAAACAAACAAATGTAAAAAAAATTAATCGGTGCTAGTGTTGCCCAAAATCGGTCTTGGTCTTGCAGTCTTGGTCTTGTTCTTGCATTTTTGCAAGACCAAGACCAAGAACAAGACCGCCTAATTTTAGCAAGACCAAGACCAAGACTGACCGTGCAAGATTTGAGCAAGAACAAGACTAAGCCTGCGAGACTCTTGCGTCTTGCAGTAAGGAATGAGTGTCGTTTCAGGGAGTATAGGAGTTCGGGTATACGCTAAGGGACTCTATGAGACGCAAAAAATATATAAAAAAATTGGAAAATTGGACTTATGCGCATTACGAACAATACCATAAACATACAGCGGAAGAAAATATCCATTAAAAGAAAAAACAGTGCATCCCCAGTTTTGACCATCGGCACTTTGATAGTGCGCGGCGTCTTGTTGTCGGCATCATCAAAGGTAGAATACTGACCTGTCAAAGAAATTTTGCAGCTATTCTCAAGTACAAGGTCAAGATACACGCGCCGGCGGCTTCTATTGATATCGCATTCAATATTGAATCACAAATATTTCTTCCCGAAAAACCAAAATAAGTGGAGATATCACAAGCTTTTTAATAACCACCGGAAAAAGTGGACAGGTAAGAAAAAATATACTTATCACACAATTACATAACACATATATTATGTAACTAGCGGCCGCCTGCGACTTCGTCCGCGTACAATATCTGATTTCCTATGAGATTTTTAAATTTTCTCGCTGCAAAAGTCTTACCTAAGTATAAAGAGGCTATACGGGTAAAGCTTAACTATGCAAGTATTTATTATTTAAAACTAATAAAGTAAATGTCGATCTTCATATCTATACTTTAAAAATATAGGACTTGCATGTAACCATTTTAGCCCAATTTCACCCCCTTAGGTTAGGATTTCGTAAAACTGCTTATTCAGGATTTTATTATTGAAAACTTATAACTTTAATTACGATTTTCGTGGCTCTAACTTCAAAAACGTAGGACTTTCATACAAACTTCCAACTCCCATTTCACTCCCTTAGGGCTAGATTTTCTCAAAACCGTTTCTTAACTGATCTCTTCATTTGTTTTTATAATCGGCGAGACACATGATTTACTGTTTTATTTCAGTCTGAAAATAGCAGTGACAACATCACGACAGCTACAGTTGATTAGATGGTTAAAAAATATCTTCCCTTCTCATTTTTCGATGACGAAGCTACACAAGTATATTTTCGATCAATTTGCCCAAATATGGTGTTTCCCAAAAGGTCCACACTTAGAAGGAAGATCAAAGAACGGTTTGAAGAGCTTCAATTGAATCTTAAGAAACGACTACAATTTTCATCTAAAATGTCATTTACCATTGATGGATGGACGTCAATTGCTGGTAGGAGTTACTACGGGATCACTATTCATTATATAGACAACGAATGAAAGTATCGATCTGTAGACCTTGATATTATACCATCACGCGGTCGACATACTGGGGAAGATATTGCAACGATTTTCCACAAATGTTTATTGGAATATGACATAATTGATAAAATACAGGGTATCACGGTCGACAACGCAACTGCAAATACCAAATTTATGTATGAATTGGACTAACCGCTGCCACACTTTGGTTCAGACAATCAACATTTCCGGTGCTTGTTCACATTTTGAACCTTGGTGTACAAAATTTATTAAAGACCTTAGCATAACACAGTGAAACTGACAATAAGGGACAAGAACAGCAGTATGAAGATAATGAGGATGAAACTGAGGAAGATGAAGAATATGCGCCAAATATTGCTGACTCACGTACAGCTATAACAAAATTACGCAGTATTTCCAGTAAAATAAAAAGAAGTGAGATATTGAAGAGGAAATTTCAGTCTGCTTGTGAAGCAGCTGGCGTGCCATCAAATCTGAACCCCATACTGGACTGTTCAACGAGATGGAATTCCATACATGATATGATTGGATTTGGTTTAAAAGTGAGAACTGGCATTAACATATTGTGCACTTCTGTCACCGAATTTGAATGATTTTCAAATCACAGATAGTGAATGGCAAATACTCGAAAAAATACATAAGTTTCTAATAAACTTTAAACTTCTATCAATGAAACTTGGTGGAGAAAAATATGTTACATTACCGCTAGTCATTGTGTCATTCAATCTCTTGCTCGATAAAATTGAATCCATGGTAAAACAATTAGATGAGAAACCTAATCGATCCGAAGTGGATGAAAGGCTCATTCTGGGTTTTCAAGCAGCTCGAGACAAAATGCTTAAACATTATAAAAAGAGCAACTAGATTAATTGTACCTCTTTAATTTTAGACAAAAAATTTAACCAAGGCATAAGACTCAGACTTTTGACATGACATTGTGGGGGAAGCAAATTAAAACAGAAAGCCTGCGCAAATTTAATGAACTTTATAAAGAATATAAAAGTGTACACTCAGTGAATACATCTCTAGAATCACCAAGATATGAAAAGAAAGTATGTGAATATGATGAAGATGAAGACGTAATAGACTTTGAGAAATTGTATGCATGTCCCTCGACGTCATCTGGATATTTTCATCAAGGCTTAGTTATAGACGAATTGGAGGAGTACCTAAGTAAACCCAGAGCCGCCAGTTCGGAAGACATTTTAGAGTGGTGGAGGAAGCATGAGACATAATATCCGACTTTTTCGAAGATGGCCCGTGATTTTCTTTGAATACCTGCAACTTCAGTACCTGCTGAGAGATTATTTTCTAAAGCATCATTAGTAATTAGAAAACATAGAAATAGGTTAAGTGATGAGTCAGCCAAATGGTTACTTTGTATTAATTCTTGGTCAAAAGAATTAATATAAAGTAACGGTAATGTCACAGCTGCTGTGTACTGTTATGTAATTTAATTTGTATTGTATTTTATTTTTTTATTTAAATAAATGGTAAATTGTATAACTGTTTTATTCCATTTCAATATAATACAGTATATAAGGGTCTATCAATCTCTTTCTAGACAGATAATTTTCTTTATAATACAGTCAAGTTAATGCCATTAATTTGTTTTTTATATGTTTTGACTAAGTTTTAGCACATGTAAGCTTATTAAATGTAAACGTTTATTAAGAAACAGACTAACTCCCGTGGCAGTGAGACTTGGTAGACAGCTCAGTTGGTTAGAGCATCGGCACGGATCGCTTAGGTCGTGGGTTCAAACCCCACCCGGTATTAGTTGATTTTTCGAATTTCTCATTAAATGTTTAGACATTTATTAATTTGGTTGGTCTTTCTATGGCTATGTTAATTCAAACTCAAAATGTGCCTACTCTGTTAAGTTTTTCTAAGATCTATGGTAACGTTTAATAAATAACAATAAGCTAATAGGTAATTGTGAGACTTGCGAGACTCTTGCTGCAAGATCAAGACCAAGAACAAGACAGAGAGCGCAATACCAAGACCAATAACAAGACCAGGTGTATTGGCGCAAGACTAAGACCAAGACTGGCTAAGTCTCGTCTTGTTCTTGCATTTGGGCAACACTAATCGGTACTTACAATCTTCTTCTTCTTCCATCCCTGATCCCGTTATTTGGGGTCGGGTCTCCTCACTTGTCTGTGCCAAGACAAACGGTCTTGGGTTGTCAGATCCGGCAACTGGGCTTTCCTTGGGTCTCTTGCGATATTAGACCACCAGGTAACTGGCGGGCGGCCTCTACTTCTCTTTGTTTCTGGCAAGCTTAGAGCTATTTGAACCGCATGATCATCGCTTCGTCTTTTAATGTCCATACCATCTTAGGCGATTTTCAATGATTTTATCTGTAATAAATGTGACTTTAAAGCTGCCACGTATATGTTCATTATGGACTTAGTCAAGCCGAGTCACACCTCCTGCCCACCTAAGCATCTTCCTCT